CTAGTTTATTGTTGACATGGTGTTACAGGGCTCCGTTGACACTTAGGCTCACGGGCCCCACATAATCTCCAAACTTCAATTTTTTTAAAGCCCCGTGGTTAGATTCGAATTGGGACTAAGGGACACTATCGTGCACGGGGGCCTCTTGCATTTGCATGCATAACTGCACCGGCATACGTTGGCACTCGGGTCGGATGGTCAATCGAGAAATTTGTTTGTTCGTAAACCCATACGACCTGATTCTAATCCCTTTAAGGGTATGGAGGATAAAGCATCTTCAGCATTGATGGAACCTTGAAACCCACATAAAAACACATGCCCCACTTCAGCTTACCCTTACAATTGACAGACTATTGCTCGTAAATAAGTAATGCACTTCTGCGTTGGCAGGCCGGTTGACAAATGCGTGCAAAACAGATAGAACGAGGCCGTGTGGCAAGATGCAAAGGCTTAATGTCCAGTTTATCTGCTATTCATGCGACCTATGGGTGAGACAGTTCTGATGGCATGGACAAATTGTCTATGGTCTCTGTGACCGTATACCGGCGCTGTGGTGGCAGTTTTCTCCTTTCCTCTATGACTTAATACGCGTTTCACTTGCCCTAAACTATAACTCAATTAATTAAGTGAAGTGCCTCCTCACGATCTGTACCTTCATGTACGCATGAATGATTATCAACGCAGATAAGGCAACCGATCTGCTTTAGGTGAAGTTACATGTACTCAAGTTAACCACACGGCTATACTTGCAGAAAAACTTTTGTGGAACAAAGAAAAGAATTGTTAAATGCGTAGTTGACCGGGAGACTGATGCGTCTGCGGTATTGCCTGAAGCCATTGGTCCCTTGCGTCTCCTATACCTCATGGTTTTGACTTAGCCATGCTCAAAATGAAATGCACTGATTTTTCGGCCTTGAAAAAAACTATATCGCCTTGACACCGCAAGGCGGTCGGCCAAACTCCCTTCCAGAAATAAGACGCGAGGACGTTATCATAGTTATCTGATCACAACAATGTGCTCTTATGCGCAATGTGTTGACAACAGGACATATCTCCCTTGGAGGCAAGAAATCAGGCACTTACTTTGTGGCCGATTAGAAAAGGTCAAACGTTTTGGATTTTGAACTGGGATAAAGGCTTGCAAGTTTCTACGGACGTGCCATGAGAGTACACTAAGCTTTTGTGGCATAGTTCTATAGATTACCGTGAATATGTTTAATAAACAGCTTACAGGTTGTCTTCAAGCGTTCATCCTGTAAAATCTTTGGTTTGAATGCTTTTAGGCAATATATAAATCATGAAAGCCATCACTGAGGTATCAAGAGTCAATATAAATCATAATTTAAATGCGTTGATTATGTGACGACCGACAAGAGGTAACCGGGCTTGATTTGTCTATTTAGAGGCAAAAGCATCTAAAGCTCTGCAGTTGCTGGCCCATGACTGTCCATCACTCCTGTGGCCGCCAGCTGGACGGAATATTTCTCCCCTCACTGAGCCGAACTCAGGACTTCCGGTCGGTGCACCCCAAGCCATCCGAGAGACTAGCTCTAGAAAATCCTCCGTCGAGACACCTTTATTTACCCAAGTGACATCAACCATGACAACCACCTCCCCCACCTTGGCTGCTACAGCCTCAGACTCAAGCTTCCGGACGGCGATCGGGCCAGCTTCGAGTCCCGTACACGCGACCCCAGGACTCAGCATTGGGACCCCTGCCTCTACTGGGCCACTTGCGCTACAAGTACTCTCTGGATTTTGGGAGCAGATGGCTAAGCTTCATCAGAGTTCAGGTGCTGTCGATCCGCTACTTGATTTCCCGACTTTCAGATTTGACGTGTCCGCCCAGGCCTCCCAGGCAATGCGGACAGATCAAGATACTGCTGGGGCTCTTCTCAGCATGTTGCATGCGGCGGCTATGGCCGCAACAGCCGTAAAATCTGGCGGAGTCTCCAAATCAGGTAGGAAATTTGTGATTATTTATACTTCCTGACCTGACTGGATGATGACAATCAGCATTTATCTCTACTCCATATGAGCCAACTATGCTGGAATAGGGGGCTCGAGAATTGAATTGATCTTTTCCTCGCCTAACTCCATTGTTATATCAGCCTCACGATTATTACTTTCAGCTCAGCAACTTCATTAGTGTCCAAAACTCCGAGTCCACCAACAGGAACTGTCTTTAGCTAATGCAAATTTTTATTCAGTTGGTAATTTCCAAACAAGATTACTTAATCGAAGGTATGAAGACCAAGATGGTGTGGCCTTTTGTATGGTCGCAGTCTCCTTTCGTTGTATAGAGGTTGTTTGACCTTTTTTCGCAACATGATCATATTGGTAGGCAGACTTATTGGAACGCACCTAGTCCGGGGTCCATTGTCTGCATAATCATTTCCAAAGTTGAACCATGTATCACGTCCACGGTTCAACTTGGGTAATGATTATGCAGACAATGGACCCCGGACTAGGTGCGTTCCAATAAGTCTTCCTACCAATATGACCATGT